TTTGGGAACTCACTCGTTCTTGTGTTAGTGCAGACTAAACCTCTGTATCCAATAGCCCCACCCCAAGCTTGGCTGCCCATCACATTAGCAACAGTTCGTTCTTTCTGGCGTACCCAAAGCAAGTAGTGCTCTGGTTGGGGGCTGGCATTCCAAGTAGCCAATGGGGTCTGAGAGCTGATGGCTGTCCTGTTATTTCCCATGTGGCATCTGGAAGTGGCTGTCCGAGCTTACTGTAGGAAGGGGGCACTAGAGAGGTTAGTGTGTTTCTGACTCAGATACACTGTGTACCTGCCACATTGTGTGGTGCCCGGCCACACCTATTACAACAAAACTAGAAGTGAAGCCCAGCCAGAGCACCCATGAGGGGTACACGTTTCAGAGGAGACAGACATCTAGCAGTCCCTCGTTCCAGTCTGCAGATATCTGTGAGTGCCCACATCCTCAAACACCTTTTAAAAAAAAAATGGCTATCCTGTCTTAGGGATACGCAGTGTCTCCAACCAGCAGGGGACATGTACAGTGAACTGCTGCCCTCTCCAGCCCCATAATTTGATGGCTACTCTGGAGTTGTTGCAGGCCTAAGTCCTCTGTGTGGTGTGTGTGAGTGTGCATGTAAATGTGAGTGCGTGTGAGTGTGTGTGTGAGAGTGTGAGTGTGTGTGAATGTGTGAGAGAGTGTGAATGTGAGTGTGTGAGTGTGAGTGTAAGTGTGAGTGAGTGTATGTGTGTGTGAATGTGAGTGTATGTGTGTGTGAATGTATGTGTGTGAGTGTGTGTGAGTATATGTGTGCATGTGAGTGTATGTGTGTGAGTGAATGTGAGTGTGTGTGTGTGAGTGTGTGTGTGTGAATGTGAGTGTGTTGTGAATGTGAGTGTGTGAGTGTGTGTGAGTATATGTGTGCATGTGAGTGTATGTGTGTGAGTGAATGTGAGTGTAAGTGTGTGTGAGTGCAGTGTGTGGGTGTGGGTGTATGTGTGTGTGGGTGTATGTTGTGTGAGTGTGTGCGTGCATGTGAATGTGTGTGAGAGTGTGAGTGTATGTGAGTGTATATGTGTGTGAATGTGTGTATGAGTGTGTGTGTGTATGTGTGAGTGTATGTGTGTGTGAGTGTGTGCCAGCCCTTGCATCTGCATGCACTTGTGCACACACATGTGCCATGGCATCCATGTAGGGGCCAAAGGACAACTTGTGGGGATCAGTTATTTCCCTGTCTATGTGGGTTCCAGGACGGAACTCAGGTCATCAGGATTTTCCCCTATGCAGCCATCTTGCTCGAGTAAGGCCTAAGTCCTTTAACTTGACCAAGCTGTCGTCATTATTGCCCTCAGAGCAATAATGACTTCTTCTGCAGGTTTGGAGGTTTAAACAGCAGCCCCTCCAACCTGTGATTCTGCAGCACCAGTGTGCATTTGGTTACACCTGGCCTCTCTTTCTGCAAGGGACAGTGACAGGCTAACATCTGCCCTTACCTCCCTCCTCCCAGTTCCCCGCGGTTTGCTGTGGGGTAGCGTGGAAAGTGTACTGTTATTTCCGCCTCCTCAGTTCCCTGCCGGACACAGTCCGACCTCTAAACTGAAACCACACATTTTAGGTTCCTCCTGCCCAGTGTCCACACCTGTCTTAGTCAGGACAGTGCCAAACCCACACCCACAGGCCGATGCCGAGGGTTTCTCGCTCCTCCTGAGAACAGGTCCAGCCGTACATCCTTCCATGAGGTACCTCTACAGAGTGCCTCCCTGGCATTCAATAGGACAAGGCTGACCCTTCCAGCACATCGCTAGTGTGGCCCACTTCACAGCTGGTAATAATCCCGGGTGCCACAGGGAACCATATTGCCAAACCCAAAGTCAGGAAGAGATGCAAGTCTCCTTATCCCTGTGGTAAAGTAGACATAGCATCAAGAACTAGGCTCAGGTGGGGTGGTGGAACATGACTTTAAACCCAGCACTCGGGAGGCAGAGGCAGGCGGATCTCTGTGAGCTCAAGGCCAGCCTGGTCTGCAGCCAGGGCTGTTACACAAAGAAACTGTCTCAAAAAAGAAAAGAGAAAAAAGAAAAGAAAAGAAAAAGAACTAGGCTCAGATACTTAACCTAAGATAATTCAAGTTGAATTAACTGTAAGTTTAATTGCCTGAACACACAGACTGACAGACTGTGGGGGTAAATGGCCCAAGCAAAAGCCAAGATTCCTCTTAGAAGTATGGCCAGGGCGGTCTTTCTAGCTTCACCCGCTAAGGTCTCCGGTGATCCCACACTGGTGCTGACCCTGCCCTTCCCCATGAAACTTCTGGGGTCACTCAGGTAATGGTCGCTGGGTGTAGCCGAGCAAGAGGCCTACTCCATTCCTCCAACGGGGGAGCGGCCCACACCACATGATCGCACTCTTTACAAGGGAACTTGGTAGACGGACACACGCGTACACACACGCGTACACACATGCACACTCACACGAGGAAGCACACACATACACACACGCACACTCACATGAGGAAGCACACCCGCATACACATATATATACACGGACACTCACACATGCACACACGAGGAAGTACACATGCACACACGCACACTCGCACACTCACACATGCTCTCACACACGCACACGAGGAAGCACACACACACTCTCTCACACATGAGGAAGCGCATGCACATGCACGCACATGCATACACATGCACACACGCGCACACGTACACTCACACACACTTTCACACACTCACACACGAGGAAGCACACAAACGTGCACACACATACACACGCACATACACACTCACACATGAGGAAGCACAATGCACATATGCGCACACACGCGTACACACTCACACTCGCACACTTACACACGCTCTCACATGCACACAAGGAGGCACACACACTCTCGCACATGAGGAAGCGCACACACACGCACACACACGCATACACGCACACTCACACACTTTCACACATGCACACATGAGGAAACACACACATACACATGTGTGCGCACACTCACACTCACACTCAGAAGTACACGCGTGCGCATGCACACATGGAAGCACGCGCGCGCGCTCACACTCGCACACTCACACACTCACATACACTCTCTCACACGAGGAAGCACACACACACTCTCACACACGCACACACGAGGAAGCACACAGGAAAGGGTGGTGGTGAACGGCTTCAGGCTCTGCAGTTCTGGGGTGTTAGTGACTCAGGTTGACTCTTTTTGATAATTTCTCTTGGGTGAGTGATTCCTTTTGAAAATTATTTTAGATGTGTTTACTGTATGTGTGTGAGCGTTTTGCCTGCCTGTATGTTTTTGCAACATACACATGCAGTGTATGTGCTTGGTTTCTGCAGAGTCAGAAGACAGCCACCAGGCAGCTGTGAACCATGATGTAGCTGCCGAGACATGAACCTGTGTGTGTCCTCTGCAAATGCAAACAGTGCTCTTAACCACTGAGCCAGTGCTGCAGCCAGGGTTGGCCGTAATAACTACTGCTGACCTTCGTGTGTAAGGTGTGCATCCATCTACAAGTGGTCAGTCTCTAGGCGGTGCACTGGGCATCCTGTGCGGCTGACCTGCGGCAGAGCACAGGCCAGGGAGACTGTCTCCACAGACTTCCCACCCACCCCTCTGACAGCTATTCCAGGATCCCACAACTTCCTCTGAGCAGTTCTCCTTGGGGTCCTCCCCAAGCAACTCTCCTTGGTTGCTCCAAGCCTCCCTTCCAGGAGCACTGCCCTCGACCGTCTCCATAGGCACGATTCTTTTCCTCCGGCTCCAAGAGATTTTAAGAATTTCTTTCTTTCTTTTTTTTTTTTTTTTTTTTTTCTATCATTTCTAGGGATTGAGGGTGGGAAGGGAGGCTGTAGGGAGTTATCTAGATCACTATCTTATTTCTATTCCTCTTGGTCTCAAAATCTAGTTTGCGTCCAGCCTGGGATGCTTAATCCCTGGGAGCTCGGAGACCATATTGATCAGGGCTGTGGCTTGCAACATAGCCGGTGGAGTCCCAGCTCCTGAGTGCCACAGCCCGCCCTTTAGTTAGCCACAGGCCATCTCAGCATCCCAGAACTTTTTAAAGAGAGGACTTTCAAAACAGAGCCATAAAGGTGGCTGAGTACTGCCTTTAGCAATAAGGAATTAGATGTTGGATTCTGTGACAAAAGCATGGGAGATGTGGGGACTGACGGTTTTCCGGGGGCGCCCTGCGGGTCCAGGGAGGTAATGCACCTCATTTACCCAGAGTTCAGCTTTGCATTGGTGGCAGCAGATTGCAGCCCCCCTCGTGAGAGGGCTGTTTCCTTTTCTGCTTGGTTTGTGATTTCACTTTGAGCCGAGGGGCAGGAAACGAGAAAAGGGTGGGAAACACCTCCAGGTCTGAGACCAGGATTAGGCAGTGGACTCTCCTGTTTATTGCTCAAAGCCTTCCGGAGGAGACATGTTGAGCTTGCTTGTTGATGATCTGGATTTTTGTCTGCACCTGCTGCCCCACAAGGCTTGGTGGAGAAGGCGCCTGAGATCCTTCCTTCGCTGTCTGTTTGAGGGCAAACCAGCAATGTAGGCTGAGGTCACTTTGGTCTGAGTCTCCTTCATGACTCGGTATTCCCCAGTTTAGAAGGCAAACGGGTCGCTGCCCATTAAGGTGGGCATGGGGCAGTGGCCCCCAATCGTATAATCCTCCCGGGGAGGGCCTATGCACCTCTGTCCCTGAACTCTGCGATGCTTTTGAATAAGACCATCAAATTATTGACCAATCGACCTCAGGGCACCTTCCTGACTTCTGGGGATACTGCACCCCCTAAATTTCAAAGTGCAAGACAAGGCGTAACCAGGGTGCAAAGGGTTGTTCTCAATCAAGTCCCCTGGGGCTTCGGGACTGACTCCGTCTAGGCCACCTTCCCACTCTCCACAGGTCGGACGTCATGTCCTCACAGTTCCTTCCCGACTTTGGGGCATCTTTCCTGATAGTGGGAAGGGATACTAAACTCAAAAATTCCATGGCGGAGCTCGCTCGAAGATGCAGACACACTCGGGCCCCAAAGCCCGGTTCCTGCAGCTTGCGGGTTTGCAGTATCTTCTCGGGGTAGAGCCTCCCCTTCGGCCACACCTCCCGTATCATCTATTGGCCAAGCTGCGCACCGCCCACGAGATGCCATTGGTTTGCACCGGCTGCCCAGACAAAGGGAGCGGCCGCTGCGGGAGGCGATTGGGCGGAGCTAGGCGGGAGCGCTGGGACGGGCGGGGATGCCGCCCTCGCGGAGGCGGGGAGGGGCCCTCCACGTGGGTGGGGCTCGGCGCCCCCCGAGGGCCGTGGACGCGGGGCGCTGGTAGCTCGCCCGCCCTTCCGCCCTGGACCCCTCCCGCCCCGGGGCTTCTGCCTGGACCGCGGCCGCAGCCTCCTCTTCCCGGAGGTCTCAGAGTTCGTCCCTGTCTCGCAATTGGGAACGTGGACACGCAGGAGCCTGGATGCAGAAGGGCGCGTGGGGGCCTGGAGCTGCAGCGCGATCCGCAGGTCTGCGCCTGGGCCGCTCCACTCCCTCCTGATCCGGAGGAAGGACCGCGGGGACCCCTGCGCGCGGACGGTGGCCACAGAGTTGGCGCGGGCCTCGGCGCTAGAAAATGGATACTGGTCCCGGAGAGGCGGGCCGAGTGTCCCGCTCTTGCTTCCTGGATAATTAACCCGGCGGCGTGCGTGGCTGGGGAGGGAGGGACAGGCCTCGGGGCGACCAGCCGGGCGGGGAGTGGCTTCTGGGGGGGCTCCCTCGCCAACGGAAGGCCCGCGAGGCCGCCCTCCGAGCTGTGCTGGCAGGTACGTGCGTTCTCCTTGTTTCCCGCGTTCCCAGGGCATTCTCTGGGGAGGGGACGAATAAAAACCTAGCTGGTGTGTACGAGGTTTTCGCAGCAAACGTGTCTTTCTGAGGGGTCCCGGGACGGCGGCCGAACTCGGGGTAGCCCCTGCGCCGTGTTCCGGAACCCCTACCGCGCTCCCCATCACCGGCACCGCGGGGCTCGCAGGCAGATGCGCGTCGCTTCCCTCTGAGTCCCACGGAGTTCGTCCAGGGCAACCGCGGGTTCTACAGCACGACAGCTCCGTTCATGCGGTTACCCCCCCATCCGGAAACCCGGGATTCTCTTCGGATCCGAGGTGTTTACTTTGGAGATTTGGGGGCCTCGCTTGGAGGAAACTCGGGCTTGGCTGCTGCTGGGCGGGGGTCCAGGAACGAACCCCTCCTCGCCCCGGGAACTCAAGGTTTACGCAGTTAGGTGACACCCCGGCGGAATCCACACCCCACCCCAACCGGGTCAGAAGAGCCTGGTAGCGGGCCCATCCCCTCCCCCATACCCACTTCAAACAAAAGAGCTCCTCCGAGAGTAGTTTTTAGGGGGAGAGCCCTTCTGAACGTGGATGCGCAGTTCTCCCCGCCCCGTTCCTAGGAAGGACAAGGGTTTTGTATGCGTGTTTAAAACAAAGGGGAAGCTGGGCGCGAGTTTCAGGGGGGGAAGGAGCGCTTTTATTTTGGAGTTCCTGAAAAATTCACCTTCTTTTCTCCCCAAATTAGCCGCAGCCGAGTCAGAAGTGTCCCCACTGTCTTACGTGATAATGGGATTTTACACGGTCTGCTAAGGGTGGCTTCGTGAGAAGACCATTTCCGAAGAGGAAATGGGCCTCTGGCCGGTGGGTTAAAAACCCCTGTGGGATGAAAAGGACTCCCAGCCGCTTTGCGGAAGATTGCAAAGTAAGGTGGGTTTTTGTTTCTGCGTTGTGTTGTTTTTTGTTTTGTTTTGTTTTTGTTCCATTCCTCCTCCTCCCTGTAAATGAGAACAAAAGGTCCCCCAGCGTGCAGGACCGGTGGACGTTTGGAAGCTGCAAATAGAATGAATGTCCTTATTAAAAAAAAAAAAAAAAAAAAAAAAACTCTGGGACCCCAAGCACGTCTAGTGTCTCTGCGTCGCAGTTTGGGTGAGGAAGAATGTGACTTCCCCTGCACAGAGGCGGGTTGGGCACCGATTCCGCCGTGGAGAGAGGGGTCCCGGCGTTGGGAAAGGCTCCTCTTGGTGAGACAAAGCGAGCCCTAGCTGCGGCCACCTTCCGGAGGCCCGGGCGTCTTCGCTGCGCGTGTCTGTGTACTCGCGCGGGTAGTCCCGCTTCCACCAAAACTCTGGACTTGGTTTCTCTCAAAATAAAACTCAACAAGCCATAAGGCCTCCCGATGCCGATGGAGAAGGCGCCGCGGATTTATGGCCCCCCGAATTCCCCACTCTCTAATTATCCCTGTTTTTAGTTGACTTATGGGTAGTGACCAATAAAATAATTTTCCATTTCGGATTTTTTTCTCTCTCCAACATGAAAAATTGAAGTTTCTCCCTGCTCCCACCGACTTGTGCAGATCTTACCCCACCCCACCCCCCGGTAGGGGTGAGGGAGGAATAAAAGAAATCCTCCTTGTGCCACCTCTACCAAAGGTTGACGTCCCCCCCCCCACCAACTCCCCGATTAATTGCAATTTAGGAGAGAGTTGCCCCCAGCCCTTCTCGAGCATTTCCGCGGATCCTTTTCTAGAAACCCTGCTGGGCTCGGGCTTCGCGCCCCTTCCGAGGACTGCAAGGCCCAGCCAGGCCCCGCGGCAAGTCTCCCTCGGTCTGAGCTCCTGTCCGCCTCCCGGAATGCTCGCAGAAGCACGAGCCTTGGGCTTTCTGGGGGCTCCAACCTGATGGGGGGGATCCCTCAGCCGTCGCTGCCTGCCTTCCCATCCCCCATCCCCGTCCCTTTGTTCGCCTCTCCGGACACGGAGTCGAAGGTGGCAGGGGGAAAAAAAAATAATTAGATGGAAATCAAAGATTAGACGGGGTGCGCTGGCCGCCCGGGCGAAGCCGGCCCAACACTCTGCCGGCGCCTCATAAATCTTTTTCGCAGGCCTGACAAAAGCCACGTCCGCCAGTTCCCTGGGAATCCAGAAACTTATCGATCTCCTGGACGTCCCCCAAACACCCGTCTTTGAGATCCAGGGCGGAGAGTCCTTGGTGACCCTCCACTTTGGCCAGCCCAGGACGCCCCAGCCCAAGCCCGGAGTTAATTAATTTTCAGAAATGGAAGATGTCAAAGGGGCCCAAGCCCCGCCCTGGAAGGGCAGCAAGTATCCCCACCCGGTTTGTAACACCAAAGAAAATTTTGGGTGCTACGTTTCCTTTGCTCCAGCTCTCTGGAGGAGTGTATTCTGAGAAGGGTGAGGGGCGGCTTAACCCCTCGTTGGCTACTCCTTTGTCTGGCTCGACCGTTCCTGGAACCAGCGGGGCGCCCGGGGCTGGAGCTGGGGCGCGGAAGCCAGGCTCGAGGCGCCCGTCCCGCAGGTGTGCGGTGCCAGCCAGCAGCGCCTGACGCCGCTGAAGCAGGTCCGTCCGAGCCGCGCGGGCGTGTGCGGTCCACGTGCGATCCACCCGGGATTGCACCCCAGAGCCCTCCGCCGGAGCAGAAGAGAATTTAAGGAGTCTGTGCGTTTAGAGTTTTTAAGAACTTGAGATAATTGGGGAAGTATGGTGCCTCCCGACGCGAATGGAGGTGTCTTAAAAATTATATCCAATTGTTGAGCCAGTTGTTTCCGACCTTAGGTATTAAAGAAATGTTGCCACATTTAATTTTGGTTGCCATGAGATAAGAGAGGGAGCCCAATATTTCGAAGTAATTTGATAAGCCTTCAAGTAGCAAATCCGAAAGGGAGGCTGGCGGCCCAGGTATAGTTTCTTTATAACCTGAATTTACAATGAAAGCATTCTCCTTTATGGATATAATAGATTAGATTTCACAACTTAATTCTCTGCAATGGCTCCGTTTAAGGGAGCCCCGGCTGATTTTATTACGCTGAGCCAAATTGGATGTTTGTGGTCTTAACGAAAAGTGATTGTGACATAAAATATATAATTTTAAAGTAAAAAACCAAGGGGTTCGACCCTGTCCCCTATCCCCTCCGCCTTCCTCCTAACCCCTGCGCCTTTTCCCCCAGTTTGGGAAATTGGTGTTAGTTGGTTTCTGCCTGGGAGATAGGCTGGGCGGCCTGGAGGGCCATGCATACGCATTGTAGTTAGCCGCACAGGCCAGACCTTTCCCTCTGGTAGTCGAGACTATGGACACTCGCCGCACAGGCCCGGGAATCTCCAGGCACACAGGACCTGAAGCCTCTGTCCACCTTGGTGACTTCACGGCTCCCCCAGGCTGGCGTGGAGCACCAAGGAAGCGCGCCCTTAGCCGCACCGCGCTCACTGTCTTTGGGAATCTTCTGTCGAGTGATGCTTGGTGTGGAACGCCTGTCCTCCACGCCCAAGGCCACCACCAAGGCTATGCAGGCGGCGGTGTCCAGAGCTGGCGCCAGCCGCTCTGTGCGCCCCACCTGAGCTCTCCACCTACAGCAAATGTGGTCGGTGGGGACCGGACGGCGGCTCGAGTAGCTCTCCAGCCCGCTCCTCTCTGCGCCCGCCGGGATCCAGCCCTGCAAGCCGCTGCAGACAAGGGTCTTTGGGCTCCAGCCGACCTGGCCTGCCAGCGCCTGCGGCCCACTCTGCCGTCACTTCTGATTAAGGTCGGGCTGTGCTGTCCTGACAGAGACCCTCATTTCAGAGTGCTTTGTTGGAGGCTGATTCAGCCCCCCAGAATTTCGGGGCAGCAAGCAGCCTAGTGAGGGCCGCTCACGGCCCCAGGCGACTTTGGGCCGGCCCCAGACTCCCTGCCGAGACGTCTGGAGCAAGGTCTGGTGTGCTCCACTCTCTCATGCAGAGAGCCTGGGTGCCCCCGGGTTCCCACAAGCTTCGACCCCACGCTCGAAGGACGCGTGCGTGCTGGTGCGTGGCCCGCAGGCCGCGGGGGCGCACCTTAAATTAAATCTTTGCAGCGCCTGACCTTGTTTTTTCCTGGGGCGATAACGGCAGCAGCTGTTTTCTCCAGAATTCCTGCTGCTGGGGGAGGGGCGTTATTATTATTATTTGGGATTGTCACAGCCTCCTGGAAATCTTCCATGGTTTTGGAAAGTGCAACAATAGCCCAGCAGATTTCTAGAGGAAGCCCCCTCCCCTGCATACTCCAGGGACCAAGATATCCTCATACTGAAGCTGGAGGCAACTCCTACTCTGACCAGCCTGCTCCTTGGCTGTCAGACTCCAGTCAGGGTCTTAAGCCCACCTTGTCCCACTTCTGCCTGCTGGCCTCTGGCCACTCTTGGACAAAGCTCTCAACGGAGAAAATGGGGTAGAGTTAGCTGTGCCCCCCAGCACCTGTGGGGGTGACCCATTCCTTGTCTGCTCCACGTGGTCCCCCCCTCCAGCCCTCCTCTTTCCAGCCCTCGTCCCAAGGGAGGTGCCTAGAACTGGGAAGAGCCGGCCCTGTTTGTTTCAGGGGTCAGGGTTAGCCCTGAAGCAGTTAAAGATTAAGAGGCCTAGGGGGAGGGGAAGAGGGCCTTCCAGGGACTCTGGCTCAGTTTTTGTCCCTCCATGGCCCCTCCCTAAGAGACCTGGCCTCTGCCTACATCCCCCAATTCACCAGTGTCACTATCCCTATCCCCCCCCCAATCTGGAGAGCTGTGCAGTTTGGGTCTAATAGGACAGTTGCTGGTCCCTTATCTGTTGAGGGGAGCTGGCAGCCCTGGTTCTTAACCACAGTCGGTAACCTTAGCCTCTGGCTCAGTGTACCCCTGGTAACTCCAGCATGCCATGATGTGGAAAGTGGCCTCAGTCCTCCTGGTTACTTCCAGAGTGAGACCAGGAGCCCAGGAAAGTGGCTGGGGCCCACGAATGCCAGGCTGGTTGGCTGGCCTTCTGCGGAGCAGTCCTCACAACCAAGCCCGGGTGTACATCCCCCCTTCTTTCCTGCACAAGGCCATCCTCCCCTAGTGGCAGAGGCTCTTTGTGTCCCAAGTCCCCAGATCCTTTCACCTGGCCCTTGTGCTGTATGCCCTTGCCTCCAGAACTACCCTGCAGCAGGCAGCTGGTCCTGCCCGCCAACCGGTTCACAATTCAGTTTCACCAGGTTTGCGGCCGACAGACAGGGAAGTCAACTTTTCACTAGAAATGATGATGGCTTGGGCAGGCACTATACTTCGTTAATGGTTGTGTGGTAACAAAAAGATAAAGTGGCCCCAATTTGCAGTTTAAAAAACACAGTTTTATCTCTGAGTACCAGGGAGCCCTTGGAGCTTGGTGGCAGGGACCAGTGTTGAGGAGGATGCTGGGCATCCCTGCCCTGAGGCAGCTCGGGAGGGGACTATTATGGACTGCCTTTTAAAAAGCAGACAGAAGCAGAGTCAGTCAGTCCTCTGGGTTGCTCTGCAGGCCTGGGGTAGCATTCCTGAGCCCACATCCGGAGGACAGCTGGGGAAGACAGCCCCCAACAGATACTCAGGCCTTGGGCTAGGAGGTTTGCTTTTCCTCCACTTCACAGGCTGCAGGGCAGGTTCCTCGGGACAGAAGTAGCTGGAGAACTCTTCCTCTCTCCCGTCATCAGGACTCCCCTTGGGTCTGGGAGGGGGAGGGGATGGCCATCGGTGCCCTTTTTTGAGATTCCGTCTTGTGCAGCTGGATTCCTGTTTCCTCTAGTCTCCCAGAGAAGTCCGTGTCTCCTTCAGGGGCTTTTGCCTGGCCAGGCTGCCACATGCATTTCTGGGGCTTAAGAGCCCTTATGGCCTCTGCAGGTGTCTCTTTGATCCCCCTTATACTCTGGACTATCACTCCCTAGATCCTGTTGGGAACGGAGCATTGCCCTCTGACCCTACCCTGACCACACACGGACCCTGATCAACCCTGATGGTGGCAGCAACATTTAAACTCTGGCCACAGAGCCAAAGCTAACTGTCCCCCAGCAGGGCAGAGAGATGGGAACCGCCGAGAGCCTAAGCCAGCACTGGAGATGCTAGGTCTGCACAAAAGAACGGCAGAAAACAGGCTGGTGGGACTGTAGCTCAGAGTTGAGTGCTCGCCTAGCTAGGCTGGACCTGGATTCTAATCCCAGCACCCCCGCCCCCAAAAGGATAGAGTGGATGAAGGATCACACCTGGGGGTTGTTGGGTGGGCCACCCGTAAGTACCCTGGCCATGGAGGTCAGAGCATCTCAACCACTGCTAGCCCCTTCCAGTCTTACAGGGCAGTACTAGGCTTCTCTTCAGCAATATCCGTAGGCCCATGAGAACCAGGGCCCCAGCCCACGGTGTCTCCCACCCAGCCCTCCCCTCCGTTTCTGCAGAATATCACAGAGCCCTAGAGAATCAGGCCTGGGGCACCCTTCCCCTTTCTGGCCCGCTGCGGGCCGGGGCAGCCTCCTGGCCAGTGGCCTTGGCCCTGTCTGAC